CCTGCGCTCTCCGGGTGGCGCGCTGGAAGCTGGCTGCGAGTTGAGCTCCCGGGGGCACCCCGTCTGGTGTGTCTTCCCAGACTCTGGGTACCCCGACTCGGGGCCTCCTGACGAGCTACTTTGGACGGGCTGTGAAGCCGGGCAGGAGGAGGAGAGGTCACCTGGAGACAGGACTTTTCGTGAGCACTTAGTTAATGCGGGCCCTTTGCACATCTCACCATCTCGCCATAACCCAGGAGTTTCAAATGTCATCCCCATTATGCAAATGAGGAAACTGTTCCGGAGAGGTGAAATAGCTTGCCCAGGACCACACAGCTAGGAAGGGGCCTGGAGCTGTTATTTAGGGCCTCTCCCCTCTCCCCACACCTCTTCCCCAGCCTGACAGTGGCTGACTGGCCTATACCCCCTCTTCCCAAAGCCCTAGCTGTCCCCTACCCTGGGGGAGATTGCCACAGTGCTGGGTGGTATGGACGAGAGGATTTAAGTGGGCTTCAGGACATATGGGTTCTAGCTCTGGCCTTGCTGCAGTTTGCTAGGTGGTATGAGTCCTTGCCACTCTCTGGGTCTCAGTTTAACCGTCAGTAAAATATGAAGCCTCTTCAGGTCCTCCCAGCTGACCTTGTGAGATGTCCTGACCTGATGGAGCCACTGTATAGCAGCTGGGCCTTGCAAACCCCTCCTCCAGACAGATGTTGGGAAAGTAGCAAATGCTTCCTGTTCTGTGGCCAAGTCAAAACCAGCTGCTTGGTGCTGCAGGGGCAGGGCTACCCACCAGCCCATTACCGGACCTCTCTGCAGCTCCCCAGAAGAGCCGCCAGCAGCTGCCCACCACCTCCATCCCTCCAGGCCAAGGGATCCTGGAAAGAAGGCAAAGTGTGCTCTCTCCTCCCCCACCCCAGACTTGGCCCGGGGTCAGGTTAGGGCCCCACAGCCGGCAGAAACTCCAAGATGTGTGTTCCAGACACAGAGTAGCTTTGGTTTTAATAATTAACAGCAGCAAATATTGATTTACACAACCACTTCCAGGCCTGCACACTTCCGGGCACCCATTGAAATGCAGCCAGAGGAATATCCATTCCCACACTGGCCCTGGGGAAGGTGAGACCTGCTTGCAACACCAGATCTCTGTGTTCCAGGTGGACAGGAGGGTGTGCACAAACAGGCTGACCTGGCTGTGTGTACATGGACATATTGTGTTTCTGAGTGCGTGGGAATGCCTGTGTGTGTGTGTGTGTGTGTGTGTGTGTATACATGTGTATCTCTTGCACATGTGTGTGTGTGAAAGTCCCTGAGTACATTTACAGTGGGTGGCTGTATCTGTGTGCTTCATCTGTCACTGTGCCCCTGTACCTAGGTGCAATAGGCCGGGTATGTACCTGTGTGCAGATTTCCAAACCCCTGAGTGGAGAAACCCCTGTAGGGAGCAGGAGGGCCCTGGGTAGTTCACTGTCTCTTCAAGTGAGAAGGCAATGTCCCTGCTCCGTGTCTGTCAGCAATTGTGCTGTAACAGTTCAGCTTCCTGATTTCTGCCTTCCAAAATATTTTCACAGAATGTCCAATGGCGGGCCGGCACGGTGGGTGGGGAAGGAACTGTCAGACCCATTATACGGATGAGGATAGAAGCCCTGGGGAGGTCACCTGTTCCTCAGATTGGTTCCATCAATGTTAGAAAGGTGCAGATTCAGAGATACTGGGGGAGAAATGGAGAATGTGTCCCAGGCTTGTGTTCCTTCAGCCTACCGCTGGCTTGCTGGGGACCCCAGATGAATCACTCAACCTTTCTGAGCCTGATTCCCTCCCTGTCAAAGGAAGATGATCCACAAACTAGGCTTGATTCTGGGGTAGGGATGGGGTGACTTGGACCCACAGTCTAGGCTCTGCTGATACAAACAGAGGCTGCCCACCAGACTGGGCAGGGGCCAGGAGGCCTGAGGAGAGGCGGCTCAGCACTGATACGGGAAGCCCCACCCCAGGCTGTCTGAGAGGCAGGACGAAGGACAATGGGCTGCTGCAACCCTCCTTCCCAGTCAGGATGACTGAGGGCCAGCAGGGGAAGCCACAGTCCGGGGTGTGCAGCCATTGGAGAGAAGCCAGGCCTCCTCCTGGACAGGGGCCGAGGGCCTCATTCATGAACCAGTGTCTCTGCGAGCAGCTGCCACTGAGTCTCTCCTTCTGTGCTGAGCCCTGGAATCCACACAGGCCAGTCCTGGGCGGTTACCAAGCAGAGAAACCAAGAGAGGGTCTCAAGAACGCCCTTCTGCCACCACTAGCACCTCTGCCTGGGACCCCCGTGAAGGTGGTGTCTCCACACGTGGACTCCATCCCGTGGCCATCTGCCCTCCCAGCCGGGAGAGGAGCCTGGCCCTTACTCCAGGCCAGTGCTATCAGAAAGGAGCTTAGTCAATCCTGCTTCTGCTACTTCCTGGCCACATGACCTTGGGAAGACCCCCGTTCACCTTTCCGAACATCTGATCCCGGCAGGATGTCTGTCCACAGCTGTAAAGCTACACAGTGCCCTCCCTAGAGAGCAGGAGACCTTCAGTCCTGGCCCCACCACACCCCACCTGCAGGGCTGTGGGCTAGTAACACAACCTTCCTGAACCGCAGTCTCCTCGTCTGCCAGATGGGACTAATGACGGTAGCTGTGGCACAGCACTAATGGCTGGAGAGTAAGGCAAGATACTGCAGGCGAGCACTAAGCTCTCGGCCAGCCGTGGTGGACCTCGGGGAGCACTGGTGGGTCTGGCTGGCACTTCACACCTGCACAAGCTGCTCGGTCCTTTATCTCTTTACCAGACCGTGGTTCCTTGAGGGCAGGGCCTGTGCTAGGTTGATTTCTGGGCCTTTGGGGCCAAGTCCAAGGTTTGGCACTAATCAGAAGCTGGAAAACCTTGGTGATGGTAATAAGAGGAACAGCCTCACTTACAAGGCTCTTGCTGCAGGCCAGGTATCGTGCCTGGGCTGCCTTGTGGGCACCGTGGCGTGCCCTTCGGTCTGCACAGTGCACTGTCAGGCAGCTGCTGCCCTTCTCCTGAGCACAGGTGAGGACGTGGAGGGGACTGTTCATGGTGAAGATAAGAGCTGGGTGGCCAGTTGACAGCCCTAAGCCACTTCCTTGGACACTTCTCCAGACCTGGGTTCAACCTCTCAGATTATACAGGCCACTCAGGGGTCAGGAGTGGTATCCCTTTGGGTTAAATCCCAGCAGCATCTACCCACACATTTTATATCTGACCAGTAGCCATTCTTCATCATTGCCCAGCACTGGCCAGGAAAGGGGCAGTAGGTGTGGAGGAGGACATTTACCTTAGGGTAGAGTGAAGTAGGATGAGAGGGAACTAAGTCCACTTGTGACAGGTCTAGTGCCTGAGGGAAGCGCTGGTTCTGCCCATCACTCCTCCTAGAAGAGAAGAAGATTCTGAGGTCAGGGATGGCCCCAAGTTGAGGGATTTGGGAACTCTGGGAGGAAGTCCCCTCAGAGCTGGGGGAGCCGAAGGGAGATAGACTCCATGGAGCAAGTGTCCTGGGCTTCCCAGGGGGAGAGGGAGGAGAGGGGCTTCGAGAACAGGACTGTGAAGCAGGCTCTCCTTCCCAGAGACCAGAAGTGTGGGCAGAGTCTCTCCATCAGGACTCCAGTCACAGGATGTCCACGGCCCATCTGAAGACGGGGAGACTGGGGCGGGCAGAGAGGAGGGCAGTGGAGGCTGAGGCTTCTGGAAAAATAGGTGCCCAGCCTCTACTCACTCACCACCCCATGCTTCAGGGAGTCACCACCTCAGGCCAGCGGCTACTGCCCTGCTCATGACAACAGCCGCTGGCTGGGCCACTGCAGGCCGGGCCCTGTGCCGAGCCCTCCCTCCAGGCCAGAGGACACAGCCTCCTCGCCACACTGGTCTTCCCACTTTGCAGGACCCGGATGTGCCCAAGGGTCACACGGCCGTGTGAAGCCGTGTGACTTGTGGGGCTCCAGCCACACCCACAGCTCTCCCACCCCCACCCAGGAAAGGGAGCAGGCCTGGAGAGGGTGGCGTCCGTGCCTGTCACCCTGGGAAGCCTGCGAGGCCATCTCTGGGGTCAAGGGGAGGAAGTGCCCAGAGGTTCCCAGCATCCAGGGAGCCTGGGGCCGGGAGAGCAGGCCCAGCTTCCGCTGCCGCCCAGGGCCACCCTGACGTGGCCACACCCCCACCCAGGTCCCATGGAGCGAGGCTGGTCCCGCCAGGGTGAGTCACCTCCCAGACACTCCTCAGTGGCCTGTGGCAGACTTGAGTCAGGCAGAGCCAGGACCGCCACGCCCCAAGAGGGACCGGCCCTGGGGAACCCAGGCCAGCAAGGAGATGCCCAGGCAGCTCTGAGCCCCCTCGGACTCCCCCACCCGCAGGAGCCACCCCGGCCCTGCTTGGTGCCAGGGCCCTGCCTCCCAGGGGTGCTGGCGTCTTGAAAGGAGGTCTGTTCTAGACAGCGCTTGACCCCAAAGGAAGGATCTGGTGGCATTTCAAGCCGCTGGCATCGTTGTGGGGGAGGGATTCCCGGGCACTGACCACGCGAAGCGTGAGTTGAAGACACACCCTCTCACCCCGAGGTGCCAAAACAACCCACCCACAGGGCCTCGGCCCACGGACGCTTTCGGCCTCACTCATCCCCGGGAACGAGTGGGTCTCCCCGTTAGGGTCCCATTAAACATTTGCTCAATGACGGACGGAGTGAGGCGGCAGCAGGGGGTCACTGAGGACTGTGAGCACTTCCTGGGTGCCACGGTGCACCCACGTGGCGAGAGGCTGGAGACGGGGGCGGGGCTGGACAGAGCCCCATGGAGATGTCCAGGCAAACTCCCCTGGGACCCACAGGGGCCCTGTCGAGACCTGCTGTGGGCCCGGAACTGTGTCCGCCATGTCAGACGCCCGCTCCCCTGTCCCCTGCTGGAAGGTTGGTGGCATTTATCCTCATTTTTACCGATAGAGAAACAGAGGCTCAGAGAGCCAAAGCCACCGCTCCTACTAGTGGTGACAGAGCTGGAATTTAAAGCATGTGCCCCGGAGTGAATAGGGACAGCACTAGGGGTGGACAGCAGAGGCTGCCCGGGGGCCAGGAAGTCCTGGGGTTGGAGTCTCGGAGAAGCCAGGCGCCCTTCACGGTGGGGACCGCTGTCCTGAGTGGCCCTGTGTGGTGGCTGCTGCCCCGGATCAGCCTAGTTGAGTGGTACCCCCGTCCACCCTTCTCAGCCCAGGCTCAGACGCTGGCCACTGCAGGCCAGCTCCTGCCGCACTTCCCTCCAGAGACCTCGGCCTGCCTTCCCGCGTCCAGGGGCCACTTCCCGCGGGATCGCTCACGTTGGCACAGGACCAAGGCTCGCTCAAGGCTCTGGGGCTCAGCGTCCACCTGGGACCCTGAGCCTGGCCTCTTGGCTCTAGTTCCTGTTGGCCAGACTCCTGCCCCCTGCAGGGAGCACCCAGCCCTCCCCCCGCCCCGCCCGGAAGTCCACCTAAAAGGCCAGGACTGAGCCTAAAGGGCAGGGCAGGGGGGGCAGCAGGATGGGGCTGAGGAGGAAATTCCTCCCCGGCCCTGAAGGGCAGCGGGACAGTAATGACAAAAGCCACCACCTACTCTGTGCCTTGCGCTTTGTTGAATCGCTCAGATGCCACCTGCCTGGCACATGGGGAAACCGAGGCTCAGAAGGGGCATCGACTCGCCCAAGGTCAAGTTAATGAGACACCGCAGGCCTCTGGACCCAACGCCAGGTCCAGACCTGAACTTCAAAACGCAGGTGGCCAGCCTGTGGGCCCCGCCTGCCCGACTCCAGCCGGGAACACAGCCGCTCAACAAGGCAAGTAATAGTACCAGGGACAATGGCCGCCAGGGCCCTTGCTACGCTGCTGGGGGCGGGCTCCACCCGTGACTGGACTTGTGTGCACTCCCTGAACCCTCATCTGCAGAATGAAGGAATAGGACAGAGAGGTTAAGTAACTTGCCCAAGGCCACAGTCACACACAGTCAGTGAAAGTCCAAGGACTGGACACTGACCGTCTGGGTATCCATGTGGGCCTTCAACACTACCCTGCCCGCCTCTCACCTCCTCCCATGCCACCACCCCTCCACCAGGCTCCCCTCCTCCACCCTCCCTCCTGCCCGCCCCTCCATCCCCTCTGCCTCTGGCCCCTGGGACCTCCTCCCACTCAGTCACTGTCTTCCCTGGTCAGAAAGCGAACAGTCTCTCTCCTAACCCACCCTGCCTTCTGGTCCCCACATTCTGTTCACATGAGGTCCCTCAAGACTCTGTCCCCTCCCACTTCTCTCAAATCCCCTCTGACCCCATGGCCAGCTCAGCCTAAAATGCTTTGCATTTTTCCAGTTACCACATCTGGGAGGAGCCCAGAGCAGGCCAGGACACGGCAGCTGTCCCTCCTCCCTCCCCTCTGCGTGACCCCAGTGGCACCCTGTAGTTCATGCAGGTATTATCTCCTTCCACCACTGCAGAGGCTTTCTGAGGTGGGACTTTATCAACCTTTTATCCAGATGGGGAAACTGAGGCTCAGAGAGGTTAAGGGATGAACCCAAGGTCACACAGCCAGGAAAGGGCAGCCATCCCAGCTGCCTTCCACTGAGGCTCCCTGCTCCCCAGTGACCTCCCTAGCTCAGCCGAGTCTTGCTGCCACCACCAAGGCCCTGCTGCAACCCTGCAGGATCTGGCCTGGACACCTACCCACTGCCGCCTCAGGAAAAGGCAGCAGCCAGGGAACAGGGGACTTGTCCAAGGTCACCGGGGAAGCCAGAGCCAACCTGAGTCCAAGCCAGGCACATTCTGGGGTCACCTTGAGCCCTGCAGCTGCCTGGCCACCGGCCAGCCGGCCCCAGCTCCCTCCCGATACAGCACCCAGCTTTTTCCCTGGGAACGGGAGAGGCAGGGCGTGGGGGGAGGGGCCAGGCCGGAAGCCGCTGCTCGCAGCTCGCGGGTGTCTTGGCAACTGTCACGGTGCCTCCTCCCTCCCTTATCTCCGCATCAAGGTAACAATAATAATGGCACCTTCGTGAGAAGGGCTCTTTGTACTCTTCAAAGCCCTCTTTATCTGCCCTCCTGGGACTCTCACCGGAACTGGAGTGGGAGATAAGGCGGTGGCCAGGGTCCCCAATTCCCGGGAGGGCACACTGAGGCCGGGGGAGTGGAACCGCCACCTCATGGTGACCCAGCGAGGGACAGTCCCCAGAAGGGAGCCCAGGGCCTCCACCCACCCAGAGCCGAATGCCACGGGAGGATGCGGCCCTCGGAGGGGTCCACGCGCTGCCAGACAGCAGCGTCCAACCCAGGCCGCGGGGAGGTAGCCGGGGACACCAAAGACAGGTGACAGGATGCAGTCCTGGGGCGTGTCCCACCTGCAAGCCAGCTGGGCGCTGGGGCTGGCCGAGGCACCTGTGTGGTAGGGACGGGAGACGCTGGAGAGGGACTTGCGGGTGCCACTGTTGGTCACTCCTGGAGAAGCCAACCTGGGGGCCGCCCCGCTGGCCCGGGTGCCCATAGCTCTGGACGGGGTCCCCAGGTGGGTCTGGCCCTGCTGAGCCTCCCTCCCAGTCTCTGCCTGTCCTATCAACATCCCTGCTCCTGTCCGTGGCTACCCACCCTGTCCCAGCCTCCCTCGCTGCAGGTGTCCCCAAAAGGCTAAGCTTTTGAACTTGCTGTCCCCTCTGCTGGGGTTCCTGTCTTTCTCTTCTCCCTGGTGACACGCTCACGTTTTGAAACAGGTGACCTGTGACCGTCAGGCCAGAAGACCATGTCTGGGAGCAGGGGGTGCTGCACCCTGAGGAGCCCCTCAGCACCCAGTTCAGGGAGCCAGACCCAGGAGGCCGAGGGGGGCCCAGGGAGCCGATGAAGGGAGAGCGCAGAAGGACCCGGCCAGGCTGGGCGGAGGGCGGAGGCCAGCCTGCAGCAGAGGCCAGGTGGGGGAGGCCCAGGGCATGTCCCTTGGGTCTTCCTGGCTCCACCTGCTGGAGACACCTGGAGGCAGAGGGGCCCCAGGAAGGGGCACTGGCTGTGACGGACACTCCTATCCAGGGACGGCTGGAGCCGGGGTTCCCCAGCCACTGACACCGGATCTGGGGGACTCTGATCGAAGCCACAGCCACGCCCTGCCCTGGAGCTGCCTCATCTGGGGGCCACAGAGGCACACTGTCCTCAGACCTCCACCAGCCAGCCCGGGAAGGAGGCCGGGGACAGCAGGCGAGCAGTGTCCAAAGCCAGGTCTTGAGGGGACGTCCCCCCGCCGCCCCAGGCCCACCTGGGACCCAGGCCAGGTCACTCCCAGGCACCTTTGAGCTCTGCCAGGTCTGGAGAAGGGGGCAGGTGGGGAAGGGACAGAGCAGGCTTGTTTGGCAGTGACACTGTGTTGTCACTTAATCTTTGTGACAGTCCCC